CATCGCAGATGCAGCTCACGCTGCTGGGCCCAAGGTCGCATAACTTCCTTCCAAAGATGGAACGGCGCCTGCTGCTGGCGGCGGCGCAGCGCCAGCTGCGGATCACGTCGCGCAGGGGGCCTGCGAGGAGCAAACTCTCGACGCCCCGAAGAACAAGGGCGGCCGCGCAGCCAAGAGGAAGCACACTGCTGCAACGGAAGCTGCAATGAAGCAATCGGCCGCCATTCCCGCCCTGTTGACGCCAGCCTCGCAGAAGGCGCCCAGAAGCGTTGCCGCCAATGCTGTGTTCGAGCCTGCTGGCCGTCAGTCCACGTAGAACGCGTTTGCTTCCAAGTGGCACGGCAGGGCGCTAACGCGGGCCACGCGTGACAGCCGCAACGAGAAGCAAGCGCTCGTCTCTGCAAGGGATGCACACAGTTCGGCAGGCGGGATGTGGAAGATCAAGAAGAACGCCTGAGACGCGATGTTGCGCATCAGCCTTTTTGGACGCGTGATCTGTCGGGCTGCTCATGCACAAAACGCAAGAAGAAAGCATTACTTTCCGGTGGTGGTATTTCATGTTCGAAACGGTCGCCGCTGGAACATATATATATATATATATATATATTCACATATGTATATATATATATATGTATATGGGAAACGGATTCTGGCATGTAATTGCCACGCGCACGCGCCTGGGGGCGTCTCTCCGCGAGCTCGTGAATCGGCGCGCGCATGCAGCGCGCGTTGCTCACCGCCGCGGCAACCTCTGCAATCGCGCCCGCGGCGCGATCTGCGGACTTGCAGCTGCGGCTGCATTGTTGCATGTCTGATTGCAAATTCTGAAGGTGCGGTTGCACGGTTGCGCAGTCTACACGGCGGTCCAGTGTGGTTACAAGGTTATGAGCATTGTTATAAGCTATGCAACAGTGCGTATAAGCAATGCAACAATGCTTCCAAGCATCGCAAATGCAGAGCCTGCAGATATAACCATACGGCAGCTTAGAACTGATTGCCTCTGGTTCTGAGGTTATAACCACAGCTACAACCGAAGTTACACAACCAACGCATCCGCATGTTAAACAGAAGCGCTTAGCTTAGCTATGCTTCTAGTTATGGTTAGCATTAAATGCGAAGCGGGTGTGTTATGGTTATGGTTTGGTTACACATTGGGTTATGAGCGTGGAAACTTCGGCTACGTTGGCACAGTTGGGCGACGAGGAAGAGGGGGGCGAGGGGGGGAGGGGAAGGGCGGAAAGGAAGAGGAGGACACTCAAAAACAACGATGACGATTGCGACGGTGAAGACGAGGACGATAACGAGGACAGCGACAGGGACACATTCCGTCGAGTGATCGCCCTGCAGTGCTACACTAGAAGTTAGTACCAAATTTGACGACGACTGCGACGGAGGCCGATTCAATCTTTTGTCTCGCCTGAGACATCCTCGACACATCTCTCGCTTCGCTTGAGAAAACCTCGAGGATATGCTTGTTTCGCTTGAGACATCCTCGGCAAGTCTCTCGCTTCGCTTGACACATCCTCGAAGAATTGTTGGCTCCGCTTGAGAAATCTTTGAACATCGATCGTTTCGCTCGAGGCTGCCTCTCAAAATTGTTGGTTGCGCTTGAGACATTCTCGACAACGCGTTCGCTTCTCCTGATGTTGCTATCTCAACATAAGAAGGAAGTAAACCTCGATGGTGAACTTTTCGCAGTGATAGTGAAGTTCGGCCCCCGCGCCCCGCGCCCCTGACCAAACTCTTCTTGGCAGCGTATAATCAACTCTATGGTGTTAAGGGGGGGTCTAATTTATTATCGTCGGCATTGTGCTACACGGCCTCGCGGTCAGCGCCGTCGACCCCGGAGCCCGCGGCCCTCGAAGGAGACGGGGTGCGCGATGAGAGAGGCGAGCTGCAAACGGGATGGAAGATTGGCTGGTCTTGTAGGGCCCCCCTCAACCGAACCCTCATTGGTGACGGGGTAAAAACAGGGAGGAGCAGGAGCAGCGGGAGGGGCGGGAGGAGGGGGCGAGGAGGAGGAGGGGGAGGAGGTGGACGAGGAGGAGGGGTGGCGGCGGGGGAGGGCGGGTGGATTTTCTCGGCTGACCGCCCTCAGTCAGCGCGCTTGTTCCGCAGGCCTTCGGAAATCCAAGACTTCGGCGAGGTTGCAGCGACGAGGCCCGGGGGGGGGGGGGGATCGCGTCGCCGCGGCTGGACGTCCCGGCATCAATTAATGGAGGACTGCACCCGCCCCCCACCCTTCCCCCCACGACGGCAACGACGCCGACCACCACTGCGGCGCGCCTTGCCGCCCCTCGCGCGCGTCTCTTGCCAACCCCGCATCTCCTTCCATCACCGCCCCACCCCCCCCCCTTGATCCCCCCCCCCCCCCCTTTGTTCAGTGGGGGGCGGGGTGAGACAAGGGCATATTCGGGGAGCATCCTCGTCGCCACGGCTGGACGTATAATGAAAAGTCAATGTGCTTGGATCCTGGGAGGGGTCCAGGGACCGATTTTGAGCCGATCTGGCCACCGTTGCCACGGCCGTTGTCTCACGTTGCGCCCCTCACGCTCGTGCAAGGAAGGGCGGAGGGGGGGAGATTGTCCAGACGTCCGACCGCCTCGAGCGCACGTGAGAACTCAGGCCCGCCCCATCGGGCCCACCTGCACTGGCGATGGTTCAAAGAAAAGCGTGCTTCCAATGGTGCAATATCTTGATTGCATTGGCGATGCACTGGCGATGCTCCGCAGCAATATCTTGATTGCATTGCATTGCATGGCCTTGAACTGCCAAAACTCATACCGCGCGCAGCCTCTCATTATTTGATGTACTGGTTCACGGCCTGCCATGCGCCCTGGGGCGAGCGCACCCTGAAACTGAAAGCTTCGTCGACCTTCTCTCCTGATTTCAACGCTCTGAACGCGCGAGGCGACGTGTAGATGTGCCAATTCTTGCAATCCGCCAGCCCCTGCCAGCATCTGGGGGCCCCTTCCGCTGATCGCGCTATTATTTCCCCGTGCCCCTGCCTATCCCTCCCTGTTCTTCGCCCCCGTCACAACTGCTTCCCTCCCTTTCTCAGAGAGGTCGGGAATGGCCGGAAACATTCGCATGGGTGGCCTTGATGGGGCCGCTCTGTCTCTTGGAAAAATCGATATACGTAAACGAGCATGTTCGGAGGTCCGCGCGGATTTCTTGGATCGGAGCCGCCGCCCCCCTCGCTCTGGCGGCGCCTCGGGCGCGCCGCGCAGAGGGGGCCCGACGCCGACCCCAGAAATCCGCGTTGACATTTGAGCCGTCACGTTTATGCCGGCGTTTCTTCCGCGATCTTCTTCGCGGGGTCGCCAGGGAACGGAACCTTGAAGGGCCCGACGTCGGCCTTGGTCGCCGCTGCGGCCGGGCGCTTGAGCACCGCAGCAGCTGGGCGTTTGCGCGCCGGGGCAGCATTCTCGGCGCCCTCGACCACGCCCTTGACTGGCACGCCGCCCGTCTGGACTTTCATTGCGTTCTGGGTGGGCTCCGCGAGACTGGGGAGGGGGGGGGCCGGTGCCCGAAGCGGCAATGCAGCCTCGGGGTGAGCTGGATGGGGCCCTCGAAAATCTTTCAAGAAGGTGGCGACGAGGAGATTAAATAATCCGTTCAAAAGAATCCCCCGTGGCTTTTTTTGACGGCTGCACGGGCCCGAAAGCGGCCTCCATGAAGAAAAGACGAAGAAGCGCGCCCCTGACGCCAAATGCCATCTCTGCCGCCTCGACCCCCCAGCCGACTTCGACATGACCAAATCGATGAATTCTAGAGAAGCGAAGGGAAGAAGGGAGGGGATGCGACGAGGAGCGAGAGGACAGGGGAGACCGATGCAAGGCTACGGGAGGAGCTTTGCGAGGAGGTGGTCGAAATGAATAAACCCCGCCCCCGACGCCGCGCGGCCTCTGGCCCATCTCGCTCTCCGCGCCGCCGCCTCCCCCATGCTCCTCGGGAGATCGAGCGAGGTAGGAATCAGTCGAATCGGTCTTTGAGGCCACCGCGAATCGCAATAGTCGAATAGTCGCTCGAATCGAACGATCAATCTCTAGAGTCGTTCGGGGCCGCGCCGGCCCCGCAAGGCGAACCAAGAGGGCCTTGTTATTCCGTCTCAACAGCTCTCCAGGAAGCCCCTGACGCGAGGCCCCAGAGAATGCCCAAGGGGCCCGCAAGAGACGTCAGGGGTCAAACATGGCCTCCAATATTATCCCAAAAGTTGGCCCCGAGACGACCAGGACGACTCCAGGTTAGCTCGAGATGGCCCGAAGATGCCCCCAAGACGCCGATGGCCTCACCACGGCCCGAAAAAGCTCCAATATTGATTTTGCAAGACGGCTCAAGATCCCCCAGGTCTCCACCTCCTCCTCCTCCTCCTCCTCCTCCTCCTCCCCCTCCTTGCAAGAAAGCTCAGGCGGCCCCCGAGAGGCCCGCTCCTCCTCCTCCTCCTCCTTCTCCTGCTGCTGTTGCTGCTGCTGCTGCTGCCCCCTCCTCCTCCTCCCCCCCCTCCTCCTCCTCCCCCTCCTCCTCCTCATGTTCGCCGAGGGGTTCAGATGCATGGTGGGCTCCTCGCCGCCCGCGGCCTCTGCGGGTGCCGCGCTGCCAGGGCCTGCGCTGCCCAGCGTAGCCTCGCTGCCTGGCACTGGCCCCGCTGCTCCGGACCCCGCTGCAGCGCCCGACTCCGCCAGGAAGCCTGTTGAGCTGGCCGACGCCTGGGGCGCGCGCGGCGATGCCGCGACGGCCCCGGCGTCAGCTCCGCCGAGAGGCGAGTCGGCGATCGCGAGGACCGCGCCCATGCAACCCGTCTGCGGCGACCCCCCGAAAGTGATGTTGCATCCTGCGTTCCGAATCGCCTGTGAGCGGGGCCCCCTCGACAACGTGACGCCCATCGAGCCGTGGGTCATGCGGGTCGCGATCCTGCAGGTGAGCGCGCAGACCATCTCCGGTTGAGCGCGCTAGGGCGGCCCCGATGGAGGTGTCCAGCCGTGCGGTTCGCCGTGCGCGAGGTTCCAGATCTCGGGGTTCTGCTGCTGCAACTCCAACATTTGATTCGGGCACGCCATGACCTTACCCCAATGTGGCCGCTTCTGCCGGCCACGCAGTGCACGGACGTTGGTTTTGAGATCCTCCTTGATCTTCCAATGGCATTGCCTGTCCGTTGGCGACAGCGCGTCCACGTTAACGAAGCGGGCGCCAAGGTACAAGCAGGACGCAATGTGGGTGTAGGAGGTCTCGTTGAGGTGCACCATCCCGAGCCGCTCGCGCAGCCTCGCCACGGTGCTGATCACGATAGAGTACTGCGAAGCTTGGTCCGCCAAGGCGCCCCAGAGTTCGCTTGGGAGGTAGTTGTAGAACGTGTTGCACTCCTGCAATGCGTGGCCCCCCCCCCCGCTGTTGCCGCTGCGAAAACGGCGCCCGCGACTCAGAGACTCTGGCCATGACGGCCCGCGCGACGGGGCGGCGCGCGTCATCGGAGAGCTCGATGGGGCCTATCAAACGCATGAAGTCAGCGCCTTCTGTGGTGGAGATCTGGCCAACGGCGCCGATGAGGGCTTCCAGGCTCTGCCCGAAGTTCAGGATGGCGTCTGGTTTATCGCTATCTGCAAAGTGAGGGAGCGACGCCTGGTGAAACTCCACCCGCCCCCTCGCTTCTTGCAGGAAGCGAGACATCGCGGCAAGCTTGCGTTTCCGAAAGTGTGCTGCCGTGAGTGCGCCGCGGGGCCGACTGCCAGCGCGGTCTCTCGATGTCGCCAAAAGGCTGAAGGAAGATTGGGTTGGCGGAGGTCATACCTCCCAGCATAAGGAAGATGGCATCAAAGCGCTGCGGCCCGTGGACGTGCGCCTGACGCCGACAACGCCTTATGCCCCGAGACGCCTAATGCCCAAAACGCCCAAAGGCCCGACAGATATCCAAGGCAAGACGCCTGTCGGGCCCGCGACCCGAAACAGCCAATTCGTAGCAGCAAGAATGCCAATCGGTGGCCCCTGGACTCCCGAGCCTTTCGGAATCTCAAACTTCGCGTTCCTTCTTGGGCAATGCACGATTCAATGATAATGCAGCAAGTTGGCGGCCCCAAGCCAACCGATTGGTGGCCCAAAACACGTAACTAGTGGCCCCGTGCAGCCAGCTGGCGGCCCCGAAACGGCTTAGAATTCCCAGGAATACCAATTCGCGGCCCCGGGTGGCCCCGAACCAGCCAAAGCGTGGCCCGCAACGGCCACTTAGGAGCGGGGTCTGTCAGAATCAGAATCGGCGACGGCCGATAAGGGGTCTGCCGAGTAGAGGGTTGGGGCGGACAATCGCAACCCCCTCGCCCCCCCCCACGTTTGCCACGCTCTTGCTAGGGGCAAGGGTGGTCGGAAGGAGGGCGGGAAGGTTCGCGATCGCCCGGGCACGGGGGCCCCTCGTCAGCTGCCAACCCCGTGCGCGAGGGCATGGTCGTGCGTGGCGCACGCATGGCGCAATCCAAACGCATCGACGCACCGTTCGGGGCATCCTTCTCCTGTCCTTGCCTCCTCTCCTCCTCTTATTCCTCCTCCTTGTCGTGGTCGTCGTCGTCGTGTTCCTCCTCATCCTCCTCCTCCTCCCCCTCCCTCCTCCCTCCTCCCTCCTCGTCCTCGCTCCTCCCTCTTCCCCCCTGACTCCACCCTCCTCCCTCCTCATCCTCCCTCCTTCCTCCTCCTTGCTCTGCCTCTGCCACCCCACGCTGGCGCAACGTCGATTTCGGTTGCTGGGTTAAGTAGCTCTATATAAGGAGCTCCATCGAAGGCCCCATTAGCACGGGTTGAATGCGCGACCGAAGGCCCCATGCAAGGACAGGAGAACAGTGCGAGTGCCAGTGCCAGTGCCGGGGGAGGGGGAGGAGGAGAAGGCGGAGGAGGAGGAGGAGGGGGAGGAGGAGGAGGAGGTGGGGGAGGAGGAGGAGGGAGGCAGGAGGAGGAGAGGAGGAGATAAGGGTAGGAAGAGGAGGAATGGATCTAGGTAGTGAGATGCATCGAGCAGCGGGCAGTGCAACGTCTATACGTCAGTGTTTTTTGGCAGCGCAGAATGTGAGCTCACACTCGCCATGCGCCAGGTGTTCGTGAAAGCAAACTGTCCCGCATAGCATCCTTCTCCTCATCTCCCCCCCCCCCCATCCACTCTCATCCCTCCTCGACCTTCCTCCTACTTGCAGCCGTAGAGGCCGAAGGATTATAGCGCCTGAAGCCTTAGAGGGCGGCTGGCTGTCCTCGATGCGCACGACAGGAACGAGGTCGGGCGGCAAGCTCGCTGGCGCCCGGCTGCTCTCAGCACGATCGGGCGGCCCGCTGCCCGTGACATCAATGCCGAACTTCCGCAGCACAAGGTCGCCAAATTTAGCCGAGACGGCCGACGCAGCCGAGACAGCCCAGGCGGCCGAGACAGCCCAGACAGCCGAGACAAACCAGACAGCCCAAACGGCCCAGACAGCCCAGACGGCCCACGCAGCCCAGACACGGTCCAGACGCACAGACGGCGCAGACAAGCCAGACAAGCCAGACGGCCCAGACAGACCAGACAGCCCAGACGGCCCAGACGCAGCCGAGACAGCCGAGGCGGCCAAGCAGCCGAGACAGCCCAGACGGCCGAGACAGCCCAGACAGCCGAGACGGACCAGACAGCCCAGACGGCCCACGCAGCCCAGACACGGTCCAGACGCACACGCGGCCCAGACAAGCCAGACAGCCCAGATGGCCCAGACAGCCCAGACGGCGGCCGTGTGCTCTCCGTGCGTCTGGGCCGTCTGTGCGTCTGGGCTGTCTGGGTTGCTTTGGCCTTCTGGGCTGCGTCGGCCGTCTCGGCTGTCGGGGCTGTCTGGTCCGCCTGGGCTGTCTGCGGCCGCCTGGGCTGTCTGCGGCGGCGGCTGCGGCTGCAGCGGCGGCTATCTGGGCTGTCTGGCCTGTCTCGGCTGTCTGTGCGTCTGGGCTGGGCTGCCTGGGCCGTCTGTGCGTCTGGGCCGTCAGAGCTGTGTCGGCTGTCTCGGCGGCTGCGTCTGGGCCGTCTCGGCTGTCTGGGCCGTCTGCGCTGTCTGCGGCGGCGGCTGCGGCTGCAGCGGCGGCGGCGGCTGTCTGGTCCGTCTGGGCTGTCTGGACCGTCTGGGCTGGGCTGTCTGGGCCGTCTGTGCGTCTGTGCGTCTGGCTTGTCTGGGCTGTCTCGGCCGTCTGGGCTGCGTCGGCTGTCTCGGCGGCTGCGCCTGGGCCGCCTGGGCTGCCTGGGCTGTCTGGGCTGTCTGCGGCGGCGGCTGCGGCTGCAGCGGCGGCGGCGGCTGTCTGGGCTGTCTGGTCTGTCTCGGCTGTCTGTGCGTCTGGGCTGGGCTGTCTGGGCCGTCTGTGCGCCTGGGCTGTCTCGGCGGCTGCGTCTGGGCTGCCTGCGGCGGCGACGGCGGCTGCGGCTGCGGCTGCGGCTGTCTGGTCTGTCGGGGGCGCATGGGCGGCCTGGGCCGTCTGGGCTGTCTGCGGCGGCGGCGGCGGCTGCAGCAGCTGCGGCGGCTGTCTGGGCCGTCTGGGTGGTCTGGGCCGTCTGGGCTGCCTGGGTTGTCTGCGGCGGCGGCGGCGGCACCTGGGCCGCTCTCGCCGTCTGGGCGGCGGCGGTGGCGGCGGCGGTCTGCTGGGCCGTTTGCGCCATCTGCGCCGTGTGGGTTCTGGGCCACGCGGGCCGCCTGAGCTGTCTTGGCAGTGCGGGCCGTCTGGCTGGGCCGCATGCGCTGCGTGGGCCGTCTGGGCCGTCTATAGGCCGCGTCGCTGGGCTGCCTGTGAGCCGTCTGGAGCGCGCGGGCCGTTCCAGCTTTCAAAGCTATCTGGATCGTGCAGGCCGTTTCAGTTTCGTGCGCCACGGCGATCGGCGGCGCTCATTTCGACACACCAACCACACGTTTCGAGGTGTCTCTGGCGCACCCGCGAATGCAGTGGCTGAGCTCGCATGCGCTCGCGGCACCAATTTCGGCACGCCCCTCATACGTTTCGTGTGGAAGCTCCACCGAAGGTCGCGGCAGAGTTCGCATGGTTCCGCGGCGTGCTTTTCAGCGCACCTCTCATGGCATGCACTTTCTTGTTTCCAAACCACATCCTTTCAGTGCGTCAGTGCGCGTTCTGCTGCGCGCCTTCAAGCACATTCCATGCCACTCGAAGGGCAATTGCTACAGTTCGACAAGGCGAACGCTGGTAACTCGTGAAGCATGACGGCTAAAAACCGCTGCTGCACAACGCTGCGCAAGCACACGCAATCCTTCGCAATAGCGCGTGCACAACGTGTTGTGTGAGCGCCATGCGATTAGACTGCGTTCGAAATGGATGGTGGTCGTCGGGTTTCGTCGTCGTCGTTTCCACCGACGGCAGTGGCAGGGTTCGCATGCGCCCCAAACGGCAGGGTTCGCACGCGTCCGCCTTTCTCATGTCGGCACACCCGTCACACGCTCCGTGGGTATAGGGCGCTCCACCGAAGGCGGCAGGGTTCTCCTCTTCCTCCTCGTCCGCCCCATCCTTTCTAGCTGTTCCGTGGGAAAGGGATGGCTGGGGAGTCTTCTCGCTGCCCAGGTAACCCGTGCATGCCATACTGGCCTTCGGCCTATCCCGCCACCGTCCTTGGGTGGTGGGCCAGAGGCCATGGATGTTGACTGGGATCTCGTGATCAGCTTCCTTGCAAGGGGCATCTGGAAGCAGTTCATGACGTTTCTTGAAAAGTCTTTTTTTAGGCGGGGCAGCTTTGGAACTTCTTGGGAGGCCTCCTCTTTGGAGCTTCTTAGAAATCTTTGCGGGCCGGTCGAGGGCCTCTGGGGCGGGGGGCTCAGATTTTTGATTATGGGATCCCTTCTTGGACCCCATCCATGGTGATGTCTTGTGCTGTGTTGGGCGCGCCTTGGGCCGTCTTGGCGCCCTCTTGGCGCTGACCGGGTAGCTGCGATAATCTCGCGCCAGAAGCTTATAAGGTCCCGAAAAGCGCCGCGCCATCCTTCATTTCGGGGAAAAGTTTTCCAAATTCCCCCACCAGTGGCGTTCTTTGTTGTTCGGGTCCTCGGGTTGGCATCGGTGCTCGAAGCGGTAGTCGCCCCGCGTGTTCTTGAGCATTGCTCGCGGCGCATGGGATCCGAAACGCGTGCAAGGGACTGACACACGGGGTGAAACTGGAGGAGTGATACAACACATGGACATCCTTGCATCTCACTTTATAAAACGATGCTTGGCGTGCACTGTGAGTGCGTGCGATGTGGTGCGCGTGTGTGTGTGTGTGCATGTGCGTTCGTGCCTGCTTGCGCGCTCGCGCGTGCGTGTTAGCGCGTGCGTAGGGAGGCCGTTCGCGGCTGGCGGCCGAGCCCTTCGCGCCGTTTTAGGCGCGCGCCCGCTGAATGGATCGAAACTGAACGTGCTATTCTGCCCCCCATGATCCTCCTCCTCCTGCTCCTCCTCCACGGTTTTGTTATTGTATTGTAGTTGTCTTGTGTGCTAGGATTTCGGCTGACGAGACATTGCAGTTCCTCCAACATCCCTGTGCGATTTCGAAAAGAAGGATCCTACTCAAGGCCCCGAGACGCCTGCGAGGCCCAGAGAGGTTTGAGGTTGTCTGCGGTTCTTTTTAATGCGGGATCAATGGGGGCACATCGCCACAAGGATGCTGGATGCAAGGCGCTGCGGCGTTAAAGTCAGAAATATCCGAC